GCCCCAGTGCCGTGACAACAAGTCAGTGTTGTGCAAACGGTGGGTCAGCTGATAACCCTGCAAAAGGTAAACGAGCATGCGCTCACAGATTGAGCACAGGTGCTGTTTGTTAAAGCGGATGATGGCGAATCGTCTGGCGGGACGACAGGACATTACACGCAAACAGCACAGAGTGAGATCAGCTTATGCACGCAAGATTGCTTACGGCCAGAGAAAGACGCAGGTGCAAAAAAAACCTGGCAAAACAATCAGCTCTCATTATCCCGGCCTCAGAACGGCCAGAATCCATACAACCGTTCTCTCTGTTCAGACAGACGAAAGACTAAACGAGCACAATGCATGCTGGGACGGATAGCCTCTCCTCGCTCCTGCTGAAGCTGCATTATTGGGAACTGGAGGAGCAGCTTCTGTTTTCAGATTTCACCAAAGAAACAGAAAAACAGAAAAGCTACATTCTGTGTAAACAACTGTGCGCGGTGCTGCCATTGCAAAAGCCGCCGCTACAACACTAATGTGATTTCTATGGCATCGCCATGTGGTTGCTAGGGTGCTCCAGGTGGTTGCCAGGGAATTGCTATTCAGATAAATAAGCTGATTTTAGATTACTAAGCAGTTACATTTGTCAGGACATTGCTATGCAGTTGTTAAGGTGTTCTCGTGGTCGCTAGGGTATTGCTATGTGGTTGCCAAGGAATCACTATATTGCTAAGGTGTTCTGAGGGGCTTTTAGGTGTTGCTAAGCAGTTATCAGTCTTTAGGGTGGTTGCCAGGACACTGTTATGTGGTTGGCAGGGCATTGCTACGCAGTTACTATGGTGTTCTGAGATTGATTTTTGTAAATCTAGTGGTCAAATGTGGTAGGCTATTTCAGAAAGGACCATTTAAAAGATGAACATGAAGAATTAGGAGAATCAAGAAATGGTGAATAATCAGTTACTACCCAGCGCTATATAGTAGGGAAGTATTTGATTTCAGGTGCAGCGATAGTCAGAAGCGGACATGTCAGCCTGCTCTGCCCCATTAAACTCTGATATATACAATTTAAGCAGAAACAACAGAGGAGTGTATGTATTGATTATCTGAAAAACAGTGAGATGATGGTGTGTGTGTGTGTGTGTGTGTGTGTGTGTGTGTGTGTGTGTGTGTGTGTGTGTTTCAATAACTCTGCAGAAGAATTCAAGGTCAAAGCTGAACTACATAATAATGCCACCCTGAGCTCCAGACATCGACAGCAGTGTCCATCACTCAGGGTCAGCCTGAACACAAAATCACCTTCACTGTCCCGGTGTGTTTTGTGTAAAGAGAGAGACGCTGGCTGTCAGTCACACACTCACCGGTGGCCTTTCTCTGTGAATACTAACACACGTCAAGCACATGATACCCGCCGCCACCGTCCTCCACAGCAAAACACAGAAGGGTTTCACTCTGTATCTCACATTTGTCCTGCAAATATTCCTTCCTGACTTCAGCATTTCTCTTCTAGACTTTCTTTGATGAAGGAAGCTTTGATCAAACCAAGAGCAGAAGTTCACCTTTGCTATATATTTAAATTAGCTCAGCAAGCCCCACCCTCAGTTTCACCTGACCTCAGATGCCCCGCCCACTAATTTTCAGGAGCTCCGCCCACTCCCATTCTCTCATGTCACACTGAAGACTGCTGAAAATTCAGCATTGCATTACAGGAATAAATTACATTTGAAATCATATCCACATAAAATACAGTTATTTTAAATTGTAATATTATTTCACTGATTCTACCATATTTTAATCAGAACGTTAGAGTATTTCCAGGTAATCCTGCTGTGAGTTTACAAGCTCCGCCCCTTTTCCCTCTCCATTAATGAGTTAATTCATCTCATTTTTTTTTCTCCACTATCTGGTCCTCTCTTCATTAAGCCGATCTTCCGCTCACTTTCTTTGCTCTCCTTTCATGCGACCGCAGAATGACAGATTTAATATGCGCTGAGGTGCATTTGTCACTGATAATATTATTATAAACAGGCGACGTGTCTCTCCTGCATAAACACATGTGAATGCATTCTGACAGTGACAAATAAACGCTCTCTCAAACGTCCTCTGGATAACGCCGATTAAATGACACACGTGAGACTCTGAGGACGCAAGCCATCAGACGACTCGCCCAGTTTGTGTTCGGTTAATTGGCACTTTGATATTCATAAGATCATTTACCAAAAACTGAACATTCTGTCATTCTGAATTACTGGCACGTCATTCCAAAAACAACTTCCATAAAGACTTTTGTAGAATCTTCCTGTAGATGTTTTCACGCAGCAACAGTTCAGAACGGCATCTATCAAAACTCCAAACAGGACAAAACTACTATCAAAGTCGAGTTATAATCTATGTCTTCTGAAGTCCTGCTAGTTTTTTGGCGATGAAAAGACTTTAATGTATGGTGTTACGGTCACATATGCCACACTGAAAATCTTCCCCCGCCCAAGTTTTATTTATTTTTTTTTTTAATTAAAAATTGTCACATTAACAAAAAAACAAAAACAAATGATTCTTGCATGTTTTCTTATTTATTTTCGTGTTTTTTTTTTTTTTTACAAATGTATTTAATTAATTGTATTTTATTTAGCTATTATTGTACATTTTTAAATGACTGTTAATTCTCAACCCACATTTTGTTTTTTTGTTTGTTTTTTTTGGGGGGGGGCGGTATGTTACAAATAGCTGTCATTATATATATACTGTATCTGATGTTCCTGCAGCTCAAAAAGTAGAGTATATACAATGCCAAAGTCATTGGTTTGATTCCCAGAGAAGGTTTTTTATTAAATAATATTACATAAAGGAGTGAAATACTTGCTCAATGTTAAGTCTATTTTGCTCACCAAGGCTGCATTTCTTTGATCAGAAAAAAAATATTAGTACAGTACAATTATAAAAAAATATTTCAATTTGAAATAACTGTTTTCTATGTGAATATCTGTTCAAATGTAATTTATTGCTGTGATCAAAGCTGTATTTTCAGCATCATTACGCCAGTCTTCAGTGTCACATGATATTCAGAAATCATTCTAATATGCTGATTTGCTGCTCAACAAACATTTCTGATTATTATCAATGTTGAAAACAGTTGTGCTGCTCAATATTTTTGTGGAAACCCTGACGCATTTTACAGGATTCACAGATGAATAGAAAGTGTAAAAGAACAGCATTTATTTGAAATAGAAATCTCTTGTCACATTATAAATGTCTTTACTGTCACTTTTGATCAATTTAATGCATCCTTGCTGGATAAAAAATTAATATCTTTCAAAAAAAATCTTACTGACCCTACACTTTTGAACAGTAGTATGGACGTTTCAGGAAGTGAGAAACAGTCATTGTTTCCTCTGCAGCAATTCAACTCAATTCACTGAACAGCAACGCTAGCATGGCGGTCATTTATCAGTAAAGACGAGCACTGGCGTAAGGAAAAGCCAACAGAGTAAACAGCACAGGTATTCCTGCAGGCAGATGGATGCGACACTGCGCTCTCATAACTAAAGATACAGAAGAGCCGATCTATCATGGCCAAACGCTATCATTAGCTATCTGGCAACTTACTCATTTTGACAAAGTGCAGCGCTTACATAGTTTATCACAGAGCTCACAGTAACCAAAGTCATCATGCAAACTTCACACACACACACACACACACACTCGACAGATAGGGCCG